TATGGATATAGTTTTAACAGTCTAGTATCTAAACAAATTAGTGGGATTGGATATTTACTTAAACCCTAAGATGCACAAAAAAGATAATTTGCTTATTTCTTTCTCATGACCTCACAGTTCTTCTTCCCCCAGTATCTTTAAACAGTGTTTCAATCTCATTAGTTTGAAACAGTTCAATTAGACTAACTTTATTTCTGTCAGATAGATAAAGGCTCAGTCTTGTCAATTTTGTGTATGTCCCATATCATTTCAGGACTTGGTTTGGATGTATCATGGGGGGAGGGTGAAGGATTGCTTACATGACCATGGTTGGAGGGAGAAGCTCCTCTAACCTATGAGCTGTCAGCTGACCATCATCAAGTTTCTGCTGCAGAGTGGCTGCAAGTGGCTCTGGCCCCTGGATTGGCATTTACTGAGGAAAGACTGAATGTTTTTGGCTGTCATCCACTCTTGCCTACTACTTTACCCTGGCTTCATCTAGATTTCTGCCTTTGGCAGTTTACTCTTTCCTTCTCCAGAGTCCTATGGCCCTTCAATCCAATCAGCACTTCATTCTCTCCTCACCAGTGTTCATGGAATATTCTGGACCCCCTACATGCTAAACACAGGCCCAGTGGAAACAAAAGTATTATCTCAAGGTCATCTCTAGGCATCTCCTTTCACTAGTGCTGATTATTCCCACTTCCTGTTGAATGTGTCCCAACTTACTCTATTGTATTGATTCTCAAGAATCATCTTGGAATATTTTTTATCTCCAATCCAGGGATTCCAATTTTAATAGTCTAGGTTGGACAGAGACCTGTCATCAGTACTTGAAACAAACATCTCCAGGTGATTCCAGTGTGCAGTCCAGCTGATTATCACTGCCCAAGAGAATTCAGCTTCCTCAATAACTATCTGAATGTTACTACAGCTCTCATCCCCTCATGGCATGACTCACACCAGGGGTGGAAGTGAAGATCAATAGACCTTGAGCTTGGTTCACTTCCTCTGTTTCTGTCACTCCTCTTTTCCATACACCTCCATTTTATATCTTCCTCATTAAAGTAGTATTTGCCCTGACCTTTTCTCTAAGGCCAAGGTGGTCTATGGGGTATAAGGAGGGAAGTGGTCGTACTGGGGGAAGTTATAGCATGAGATAATATAAAATGTTATCTATAGTACATATATCTCCCTAAAATCAACTAGGAAGTTTTAAAGTCAAATGAGATAATAACAAGAATGCAGACTTCCTTGTAAATGTTTGAATTCTTACCCACCCCACAAAAGTCACATTTTAAATAATATATTTTTAACATAGGTCTCCACAATTCTGTGGGTGCTTATTATCTATTTCCTCCATTACTATAATTTCCTTATATTTCCTCTTTCCTCCAGTAATAAATTGATGTGATAAAGATGCACTGATTAAAAGTCTCTATCTTTTCCTCTTATTTAAAAAAGAGTACACATCAAATTTGTTGAAGCAAAGAAAACAGCATTTCTTTAAAGTCACTGTTAACACTATATGTATTAATTTGTTATTGTTTAAACTGTTGGAAGAGTGGAATTTCTTGACAGATAATATAAATCTACATAAAACATCATTGCTAATATATATAGTCCAGGATAATAAGAGCAAGTACAATTAAGAAGTTCTCTCAATACTTAACTCTGAAGTAGGATATTAATATTATTCTTTTTTTATGATTAAAAACTGAGTGCAGTCAATGTTCAGAATACCATGTCAAAGCCATGTTGCTGCTATTTGGCAAAATTAAAACTCAAATCCAAGTCTTATGGGTCAAAATTCAGTGCTCTTTTTAAAAAATGTATTTGATTTCCTACACTTGTGATTATACCAAAAATTTACCTTCTGTCTAACTGATCCATAAATAAAATAAGTTTTAGATAATGATCAGTTCCAAGCAGTCCTTGATCTCATTCATTCTTGTCCAGTACTCACATTTTTTACACTAGTATAGATTTTCCCTGTGTCTCGGCCAGGAACATTTATGTTCATTAATGTGGCATTGCTCCAATTGAATTTAATGGTTGTTTGAAGTATTTCTTCTACTCTCCTTGTACATGACTGTCTTCCTTCAATATATAGCAAGTGCCCTAGTATCAGGCATTCTCACCAGCTGCCCAAAATCAAGCAGGTGCCATATTTTAAAGTCTTCTATTATATCTGTCACATGACATGTGTGTTAAATGATTTATAGAATGTTGAATATTGATAATAGGTAAAGGCTGTTGATGAATAATTTTAATACTATAGGCATTTAGTGTCTGCTATGATTCATGTTGCCTCATCAATTTTATTCTGCCAAAAGCTTCTTTAAATTACCTGAGCTCTATTCCTACCATCTGGGTACATATGGGTTCATTACCTTACATGAGAGACCAGGTAAGCCTAAAGGAGATTTATAATTTCTTAATATACTTTATAATACTGTATTTTAATTCTGTTTAAGGTATTTTTATTGTTACTGTAGAGCAGATTTTACCTGGATGAAAAAATATGTTTTGTATTTTTCAACAGCCATATTACAGGTAAAATCATCATTTCACTTTTACTATGAGACATGGATACTGAATGACATCAAATGTTTTCCCACTGTTTGTAGATATCATATATCATATATAGCTCTCCTTGTGTTAGTAGTATTCTAAAATAATGGCTTTTCTAATACTGACCTTTCTTTACACTCATCAGATGAAGCCAACTTAACCATATACAAACCACATACAAACATTACTTAATATTTTGTGTTTGCCTTTATTTGTATGTTTGCCGTAATTTAAATTGATATTTCTTGTTTTGATATTCTTATTAAATTTTGAAATCAGAGTTGTATGTGCATGGCAAATTTACAACCTACTTATCTTCACCTACACTCAGGGAAAATTAAATTGCATAGAAATTACCTTTTCTTGGACATTTGAAAGGAACATCTGATGATATCACTTGAGCTATGGGTTTTTAATTTTTGATTTTGTTCTTTTTTTGCTTCAAAAATACTTTGAAAAGTACTTTTCACAACTTTTATTTATACAATAATAATTTTTTATTTCTATGTTCTTGAATACATTTATTAGTACATATTTTTTAGAAAATTAACCAACATCTAGATTACCAAATTAGCCTTAAGTTATATAAAGTACTCTAATTTCTAATTTTCTTAGTTTTCTCTGTGTCATTATTGCATTATCCTTCTCATTCTTAACAGTATTTTCTCTATGTTTATTATATAAGGCTAGTTGCTTATTCATTTTAATGATAAAACTAAAGCAGCAATACACATTTATTAGGCCCAATTATCACACTACATAATAAAAATTCCTCCAGAATGATTATATGAACTTACTCTTTCCTACCAATCCCCATTTCCTTGGGTGCCTCCAGGTATGTAGTGCTGGGAACTGATCAAATACCTTCATTATTTGAGTTCCAATTGTTCTTTCATACACACACACACCCACATACACACACATGCACATCCACCTTGCTTTCAAAAGAAGACATCATTACCTTTTCCCCTCCTGTTTGAAAAGCTTAGGCAGTCTGGTTTTTCTCTGTAGGAATATTTTAGGATATTCCTTCATAAATGTATTGTGAGCTGCTAGGACACTGCAAGAACTCTGGCTTGAAGAATAACGAGAGAAATTTAATTTTTAGGGTCACAAGATAATAGGTTACAAGGGAAAGATTTTTAACTCAATACATACAACTTGATTCTATACTAATCTAAGAAGCAAATGACAAAAATATGAAACAATCATTTTGTGCTTTTAAAAATAACCCCTATAAAAATTGTCTATAGTGTGCCACAGAGAGAAATATTTTTAAAATATCAAATTTATGGGAATGTCAATGTCAAAAATTTAATTTTTAAGCTGAGCCTTCTTAAAACTTTTATTTCTTTAATTGATTAAAGCTCTGTAAAATATACTACATAATTAAAATTCCTCCAAAATGATTCACATACAGTTCACATATAAAATACTAGAAAGTATTATATCTGAAGCTTTGCAATGATTTATGAAAATCTCATACACAATTTTTTTAGGACCAGAATAAAGATGTGTTCAACCAAAAGATCAGCATTTCCCAAATCCAGAAGATCAATGGAATCATCTGGGATGTTTTCTTATAAATAAAGATGTCTGATCTTTTTCCTAATGAAGCAAGATCTCCAAGGATAGAGTCTGGGTAGGTTTCACTATCTTAAATATCCTTCTCCAGGTGATTCCTATTTTGCAGATAGGATTAAATCAACTGCAAATATAAGATCACTGGACTATAACAAATTATCATTCAGTGTCAAGTAATGACACATTTTCTAGAAAATCTGCTTCATCTAGTTTTCAACTGATAACCATCATGAAAAGTTAGTCAATTTTTTTAAATGTTAAGCATTCATCTTGACAGCTAATTTAAATAATTATCAAAAATAATCATATTTACTATTGAGCACTGATGAACATCTTAGTCAATATTTGCTTCATTGTAATGAATATAAATATCCTCAAGAGAAGACTTTTTTAAATCTCATTGCTAATATAAATAATAACAGATTGTAAAATACCTGTAACAGCTTTTTTTCTCTTGGCCAAAGAATTAAATTCTTAATTCTTTTAATTCTTTATACAAAAAGAATACCACATACTTTAAGAATATTATTTAATTTAATTTAATGTATTCAAATAATGAAATGTGATTTAATATGACATTAGGTATTTTCATTCCTATTCTCATACTATAGAAATACATTGACCAGGAATCTACTTTTTTTCCCTCCAACCACTAATATCATTAGAAACTTTCTCAAGATCTTTTTTTTTTAATTCAGAACTCACATTCTACAATCATCTATTTTACACATATACTATAATATGTTGGATACTTGTTATACATCAAAGACTGTGCTAAGATCTTTACATTGTTTTCCTCTCATTGTATATTTATGTAACCTAACTAGGTTGGTATTCTTTATTACCATTTTATAACTAAAGAAACTGCAAACTTCATTCATATAACTAGGAGTGGAGGGCACAAGGTACAAATGAAAACTGAATTGACTTCAAATCTATTCTCTTAACCTTTTGGATATACTGCCTCCTGCTAAATAATAAGACATGTTAGTTCTAACCAAGTGCCAAATATTATTCTAGGCAGTTCACATGTATCAGGTGATTTAATCCTTACACAACTATGTTAGCTGATACTCTTATCCTCATCTGGTAGATAAAGAAACTGAGGCCTGAAGTATGAAAGTGTGTACTCTTTGTTTTATATGGAATCCATGCTTTGATATTTGGAGCCTTTTTCCAATCTGATCTAGAGAGGTCATCTTTGGAGTGGCTAAAGTTTATACCAAAAATGCTGAGACCTTCACTCCTGTCATTTTCTATATGCATGATTGAACTGCCTGGTTCACCTAATCATCGAGAATTTCCAAGATGTGCTATACATGGACTCAGCGTTTATGATTTGTGTCTCCAAAGTAGTGTGTCCAAAGAATTGAAAGATGTAGAAGGTTGAAGTAGAAGAGTCAAATGCTAGAACTTGACATAATTTTCACAATGAGGCCCTAAGTACCCTATGATGATGCTATGTGTACATTCTGTACCACAAAAGTTTGTCGGTATACTTCCATTGCTGAGTCTCCTTTGAAATAAAAACATATAGTTCTTATGTTCAGGAGGAATGAATGATTAAAACTATATGAAATTTATAAATGAATGCCTCTAAATATGGATAAGAGAAGTAGTTTAGGAGAAACATCAAATGAATATAATTAGAAAGACAGAGACAAAGAATTAGAATTATAGTCAGATTGGAGAGTAGATCACGGATCCAAATAACTATTTGACACTTGAATATTACCCAGAGGACACTTTTACTATCCCAGGCTATGGACAAAATTTGTCACTTCACTAACGCTGACTGGGAAAAGTACTCCCACTTCATCATGCAGATGAAGGGGAGATGCATCTAAACCTATTGCTTTATACACTAGAATTCTAGAGCACTTCCAGGATGGTCTATATCCAAGGAGCACAAAATTAAATGCTTACAATGTCCAAACAGGTATTAAAGGTGGGGACTATATAAACAAGTGGGACTACATGAAACTAAAAAGGTTCTGTATGGCAAAAGAAACAAATAAATGAAAAGGCAACCTATGCAATGGGAGAAAATACTTGCAAACCATCTATTGGTTAAAAGGTTAATATGCAAAATATATAAGGAGCTTATAAAACACAATAGCAGGTGTACCTTTAGGGTAGTATGGTAAGTGAAATAAGTCAGACAGAGAAAGACAAATACTGTATTTCTTACTTACATGTGGAATTTTAAATATCCAAACTGATAGAAACAAAGATTAGAATAATGGTTACCAAGGGCTAGGTGTTGGGGAAATGGGAGAAGTGGCCAAAGGGTACAAACTTTGTTAAAAGATGAGTAAGTTCCCTGTAACTAATATAAAGCATGGTGATGACAGTAAACAATACTGCATTATGTATGTGAACATTACTAAGACAGTAGATCCTAAATGTTCTCACCACAAAAGAAAGGGAAATTATGTGAGGTAATGGAGTGGTTAACTAACCCTATGGTTGTAATCATTTTGCAGTATCATCACATTGTGCACCTTAAACTTACACAATGTTATATGTTAATTGTATCTCAATAAAGATTGAGAAAAAGAAATAGAAAAGTTTGTATACATTTTTTAGTACCTACGCATACATTTGTTTGTTCTGTCAGCAAGGGTTCTAGAAGCAATAACATCCCACAGCAGCAAGCAAACATGATGTTCCAATTTAGGTCCTTAATATCATTCTCTAAAAAAAGGAACCTAGCCTCCATGAAAAAAGCTGACTCTAGTATTAACATAGGGAATATACAAGCTAAGCCTGAAACACATTCTGGAGTCAGAAATTAAGAAAGTGCTTTAAAAACAAAACCAAATGAAATATGTCAAAGGGACATAGGGGTTGACCGACAGAGCTTTCAATGGCCAAAGATGAAATTTAACAACAAAATAAAGTAACATTTGATTAAAACCAAATTAGAAAATAGATGTCCCTTAGCCCATTCTGAAATTAAATAATTGGACATACAGATAAGAATACATAAATATACTGAGCAAGACAATTACAATTAATGTACATAGATACCACTACCTCAAGGAAATGTACCATAATTCCTCAACCCTTAAAAATGGGCTGTGCAAAGTGACCACCTTGCAAAAGTACAATACTGAAAGGCAGAAAGCATAACTATACTTTGCAGAAACTTGATGGATGCTACTTGAACCACATTATCAAACTTAACATCCATAGTGATAAATGGTGTTGATAACATGTATGTTTTATATGATGTGATGAGTACATTTTATCTCTATGTTCTTCCTTCCAAAATTGCATAATCCCATTCTAAAGACATGATAAAAAACATTAGACAGTTCCTACTTATGGGAAACTCTACAAAATATCTGACCAGTACTCAAAATTAGGTAAAAACTAAGGAAATCCAGATAAGGTATGGATTTAATGATAATACATCAAAACTGGTCCATTACTTGTGTCAAGTATATCATACTACTGGAAGATCTTAATAGCAGGGGAAACTGGGTGTGGAGCATATAAGAACTCTTACTTCTGTAACTTTTCTGTTCATCTGAAACTATTCTTGAAATGTTTATAAAAAATAATTGTGCAATGAAAAAACTACTACTGTGAATAAGATTCTAGGCAAATATAATCAAATTGTTCATCAAAATTGTCCCTCAGTTTGTGGCATTTTTTTAAGTTATTTTCATGTTGTTTGTATTTTTATATTCAAAAACAATTTTAAAATTGGAAAAAAATAAAGGATAATGAACTATAAAAACAAATAAGCAAAAGGTAGGTACTATGATGAACTAGAGAAAACATGCCCATAAGGAAGGAGCCACTATTCCTCTCTTAAGCCCATTTTTATCATGTACTAAAACACATCCAAAGTGGTCAGATCCTGCAGTTCATTTTTTTACATAAGGCATGTATCTGAACTCTTATGTGAAAATATGTGATTTTTAAATATTAACTAACTGCTATAAACTGAATTGTGTCCCCCCAAAATTCATATGTTGAAGCCCTAGCCCCCAATTTGATTGTATTTAGAGACAGGGCATTTAGGAGATGATAAGATTAATTAAGATCATAAGGGGGAGGACTTAATCTGATGAGATGTGGCCTCATAAGAAGAGAAAGAGAAAGATCTCTCTTCTCACATGCATACACACAGTAAAGGCTATGTGAGAACACAATGAGAAGGCAACTACCTGCAGGCCAGGAAGAGAACTCTCACCAGAAACTGAATTGGCTGGCACCTTGATAGTGCACTTCCCGGCCTCCAGAACTATGAAAAATAAGTATATGTTGTTTAAGATAGTCTATTATATGTTATGGCAGCCTCAGCCAACTAAGATAGTAACTTACCTTTTCAAAAATTTTTAAATTACTGTGTGGATGAATCAAAATAAATATTTGGACTGTACACCAGTTACACTATCCCAGGTGAGGGGAAGAAGCACCAGTTAATGGCTTTCGGAGGGTTCCCTAACTGCCTGACATGTAGTTACTTCGGGCTTC